CCTTCTCCAGCGACTGGTCCCTCTTGAAAACATTTCCGAAGTATGAGAGACGAAGTCTGGCCATCCTGGCCTCCAGGGAGCACTCTGGCTGCATTTCTTCCAATACAGATCTGTTGGTTCTTTTGACAGCCCATGACATTTTCAATATTCTCCTCCAACATCGTAACTCAAAACCATGACCTCTAGAATAGGGAAAATAACAGTACACAATTTACAGGGAGGTTAATGAATGAAAACCAGGTAGCAGAATAAACGGAATGAAAAAAGTGTTAAAATGTCAGTGATTGCTATTACCTCTTTGTTTGGAGAACAAAAATTAAAAATATATATATATTTTTATTATTATTTTTAGAAGTCAAACTAAGGTAAGTACAAAGAAAAGTAGCAGAAACCGGGAGGACTCCATGGTGCCTGGCTACCATTGCTGCTCATTCTATCAGGGTTACAGTAGACTGACCTTGAGAGGATGGCAGAAATACGTGGAACAGAACCGTCAATTCCTAGCAAACAAACAAGACATAGTTATTGGACTGGTTGAAACCGGAGGACTCCCCAAATCTGTCACCTTGAGATCCTCTTCAAATCTTGAACTAAAGCTAACACCTAAGGTCATCTTGTGGTACAGCGGGTTAAAGTGCTGAGACTACAAAATGGTTTGAACCACAAGGTCGGCAGTTCAAGTTCACCAGCCTTGGAAACCCTACACGGGGTCACTATGAGTCAGAAGCAACTCAACCACACTTAATAACAACAACAACGTCAACTTGTAGCTAAATAACAGATTGGATTATAAAATACTGTTATCTGTAAATTCTGTGCTCCTTTAGAAATTTGCCTACTTGAGACCAAACAGTCAACAATCACTTTGAAACAAAGATGAGAATAAAAGGGAATGGGGAAACTAGATTAAGTTATTTAAGGTCAATAATGTCCCCATTGTGAAGAACATAAGCAATGCCGCAGAACAATTTGTATAGAAATCACTGAAAGGAAACCTAAACTACTGTGTCAACCTTCACCTAAAATACAATAAAATATTACCAAAAATATAAAACTATAAGAAAATAAAATCTAAAGACCACCATTCCAAACACACACAAAGGTTTAACCTTTGAACTTTCACATTCAAGGTGATTAAATAAAAATAACATTAGAACAGGGAATACTTTCTTTCCCAGTCTGTGACTCACATGGTACCTCCCAGGAAAGGAGAATAAACAGCCAATTAAAAGACCAGAAGTGGCTGGGATCAAAGATTGTCATCATTATTGTTATTAAAGTGCTGTCGAGTCGGTTCCAACTCACAGCAGCCCTGTATATAGGGTTTCCGAGGAGCAGTGGGTGAATTTGAACCACTGACCTGTGGTTCAAACTGACCTTGAGATTGAGTGCTTCAGGGATCAATTTAGAAAATCATTGAGTTATAGGAAAATTAAGTACATTGATTTGTGATGGAGTCCGTGATTGGTGAATTCCCACACCTCATATACTTGGCTTGCTTAGAAACTTGTAATCTAGTTTGAATTTCTATGGAACAATATGAATATTGTATTAAAATTTAGACTGTACCTTTATTATGTGTAATCCAAAGCATTTTGATAAATCTTATTTATCCTTACAGTCATTCTGGTTTTTAAGTACACCATTTCTCATTCAAAAAAGAGAGAAAAGTGAAAGAAAATTTAAATACTGTATTAACTCACGGTCATTTGCTAGAGATTTGAGTTGCTGTAAAAGAAACAATCTCTTTGACTAAGAGCACAGCCAATATGCAGGCATTCAGTGCTTACAGTTCAATGAGGTACTTGTTTGGTCTCCCTTTTTAAAATATAGTGTATTATGTCCCCTTTCTAGAAACTGGCAGACTCAGGACTTGAACCCGTAGATGTGGCTCTGGAACTCATCCTCTTCCACAGGAAGGTCCTTCTTTGACAAGAAACAATATGCTTCACAAGTTTACATGAAGTTTTCCACCCATTACATTTTGTTTATTTGGTTGTAACTTGTATTCAGAGGTCATTGAAATAATTATAATATTCCAATTGAACATTTCTCAAAAAGCAAAACTCAATATAAGAAATGCAAAATAGATGGCATTTTAATATGTTTGGCATTCACCAAAGGCAAAAAAAAAGTGCTTCCACCACTGGCAAATCCTTTCACAGTTCTAGGAAATCAAACATGATGAGAATGTATATATGTGTAAAGGATTGCTCCAATAAGTACAAAAATGTCTATTAAATATCACTATTTACCCTTGATTAAGAAAACTCCTCAGAACAGGAATGACTGCTATTCAAGTTCAAGGACTGAATGATTAAACCCTACTCATTTTTGTTTAATCAGATGTAGAAAAAATATAAAGTTAACTGGTAGGCAAATTCCCAATAGACCTGATCCAATTACAGTCTTCAAAAATAAAATAATATAAAATTTAATGAGACTTTTTGAAAGTCATTGCAATTTCATGCTATTGGTTTATGTTGAAATGACAAGGATAAATTTGACTTTAATATACTAAAGAAAATTCTCTGTCTTATGGAGTTCCAACCCAAAGGGGGAAAAAAAAATTATGCATATAATATTAAGTGTGCTTCCAATTAAGAGTTTCTTTTGTTCTTTTCTTCTTTTAAGAGTTTATGTTGAAACTACATAGTGTTGTATGCCATGGAGTTGGTCCCAAGTCATAGCGACCCTGCATAGGGTTTCCGAAGCTGTAAATCTTTGTAAAACAGAAACTTATTTTTCTCCTGTGGAGCAGCTGGTGGACTTGAATTGCCAGCCTTGTGGTTCACAGTCAAGTGCTTATCCTATGGAGCTGCCATACTCCCCAAAGTATTTACTTATAAATAAACTCTTGTTGTTGTTAAGTGCCATCGAGTCATTTTCGACCCATAGCGACCCTGTCTAGGGTTTCCAAGGAGTGACTGTTGAGCTTGAACCGCTGACCTTGCAGCTCAAAGGGCTTTGCAGTCTGATGCATTAGCCCACAGCACCACGCCTTCAACCAAACCCAGTATCATCAAGTTGATTCGGAGTCATAGCAACACTGTACATACAGGCTGTCAATCTTTACAGGAGCAGGAAACCTCGCTTTCACTCCACTAAGTGGCAGGCGGGGTTTTGATGCACAGTTATTGTTAAGTGCCATCGAGTTGGTTCCAACTCATAGCAACCCTGTATAGCTTTCGGAAGAGCTGCTGATGGGTTTAAACCACCAACTGGCAGTCCAGTGACTATCCCACAGTGTCTCACCAGGACTCCTTCGTTGTTGTTGTTGTTAAGTGCCGTCGAGTCGGTTCCGACCAATGGCGACCCTGTACAGGGTTTCCGAGGCTATAAATGTTTACGGGAGCAGAAAGCCTCATCTGTCTCCCGCCGAGCGGCTGGTAGTTTCGAACTGCTTACCTTAAGGTTCACAGCCCGATTTGTAACCACTACACTACCAGAGCTCCTTACTAGGACTCCTAGACAATAGATAATAGACAATCCATCTCACATAGCAAGGAGACCAGAGGCGGGCACTCCAGGGCCGATGCTGCAGCTTCATCCCCAAGTGTGCCTCGCGACCACTCTGCTCCACCAACGTGAACACTACCAGCTGGCTAGTCCACTGCCTTCTAGCATCATGGCCACATCTCTGAAGGAAGAAAGCGGAGAAAGAGAAAATCTCATTCTGAGGAAGGGAAACCTTTCTCAGTGGCCATGCCTTCATATCTCATCAGCCTGAACTAGGTCACACTCGTACCTTGGGACTTGTGAATAGTCAGTGATATTCAGGTCTTCATGGCAGATTGGGGTCTTCCTTCCACTTGAGCAAACTGGAATGTAGTTAGCAGGGAAAAAGGAGACTATTGTATAATTAATGGATAATATGTTAAATATTGTCTAAATATAATCAAATTTCTTGAAATTAATGATTGATGTCATATGCTTTTTCTAACTGCATGTTTGTATTTATATTTCTGGTAAGAATTAATATGAGAAATTTATTTTTCTTAGAAGATATTCCATATTAATAAAATTATAATTTTGAGGTTACGCTGGAAAAGAAAATATGGAATATGAAAAAAGGATGCATTGCTTTCATTAACTTAAAAGCTCAAAACAAAACTGACTAGGACTTGCTTTTGTAATTGCAAGGGAAACTCAAATGTCTAATTATATCTGTTGTCTTTCTTAGAACTGAAAAAATATGAATTTAGATTCCATTCATCGGTTGATTGCAGAAGCAGAAATCTTCCAGATGCAGCGATCATCCCTGAAGGCACCTTTTGACACAGCAGTCCCTGCCTCGCCCCTCAGGGAGACTTGTCCTTCTCATATGCCACCTTCTGGGCTACAGTCTCATACCCCCCAAATTGCCTGTGTTCGATCACACCCCAGTGAATGGGACTTTAGTGAGGAGCTTCGTCTGAGGGAACTTGAAGAAGCCAAGGCCAGAGCTGCTCTGATGGAGAAGACCATGAGGTGGTGGTCAGACTGCACTGCCAACTGGAGAGAAAAATGGAGCAAAGTTCGAGCAGAAAGGAACAGTGCCAAGGAGGAAGGGAGACAGCTCAGACTTAAGTTAGAGATGACCATGAAAGAATTAAGTGCACTGAAAAAGAAACAGAGATTGTCCCATGAGAAAGACATGTTAGAAGTTCAAGTTACCCAGGACTTAAAATGTCCTACTTCCTCAGAAACCTTTTATGTACTTAAAGACCAATATCAACTTGGTTCTCAAACAAGAGAGTATTTGGAAATAAATGAATCTTCTATAAAGGAGAACACAAATAGTAAGGTAAGAAAATAAAATTCCACAGAGGAATCTAGAGATTATGTGAATATTTTAATGCTATAAATAATGAGAGGAAGGAGGCTTGGTGGTACAGTGATGAAGTGCTGGGCTGTTAACTAAAAGGTCAGCTGTTGGAACTCACCAAGGGATTCAGTGGGAGAAAATACTTTAGGATCATTTCCCGTAGAAATTACAACGTTGGGAACTCAATGGAGAAGTTCTACTCTGAGCTACAAGGTCTCATGAATCAACTCAACAGTAATTTTGTTTGTTTGTTTGTTTTCATTTTAATAGTGATGGGAAAATAGGGACATGTGGGCAATTGGATGATGACCATACTGATATTTTTAGCAAAAAGGAAGCCAGAACATTATGTATAAAATAGAAAATATCTGGAGCTAATTCTCTCATTACACTCACTATCTAGATAAGTGATCCATTGAGAAGTATTATGCTTCCCAAGATGGAGAACTCACTTTGATGTTCGGACAATGAAGTCTATGCAAAATGGCTCCCATACGCAAATGCTTTTAGGAAATAATTCATACTAGTCACTCTTGGAACATTTGGATACAATTTAGAATCTTGATGTTTCTAAAAATTCTCTAAGAAAAAAAACTATTCAAACCTTTCTTAACCTAGTGGTTCATTGTTGTTAAGTGCCATCAAGTTTGTACTGACTCATAGTGATCCTAATCACAACAGAATGAAACATTGCCTGGTCCTGGGCCAACCTCACAATTGTTGCCATGTTTGAGCCCATTGATGCCACCACTTTGCCAATCCATCTCGCTGGGGGGTCTTCCTCTTTTTCTCTGACCCACTACCTTACCAAACATGACATCCTTCTCCAGCAACTGGTCCCTCCTGACTACATGTCCAAAGTATGAGAGATGAAGTTTGGCCATCCTGGCCTCCAGGGGGCACTATTTATTCATGGACCCACCTCACCCTTTGCTCCCCATCCCTTTTATTTAACCTGGTAAATATATTAACATCCCATGGATAATACTTTGGGAAACGTTAGGGAATCATGTTAACTCTTTTCACAATGTTCAGTTTATACTGTTACCCATTTCTATTTCATTCCATCTTTAAACATAGAAAATCAGGTAAATGTCTTATTTGAACTTCTTGGTCTAGAGCTTTTGCATGTGCATTTCTATGTGTGCTTTTAAAAATCCAGATCCTGGTATCTATATTACATTTGCGTGCATTCTGGGATAAATGTTACCTATTACCAAAATTCAATCATGTGAAGAGTGTATTTGAATCAAGTGATTGAGATAGGCCAATGTAACTAAAATGGTGTGTACTGAACTAAACAAATTGTTGTTGTTGTTGTTATGTGCCGTGGAGCCGGTTCCGACTCATAGCGACCCTGTACAGGGTTTCCGAGGGTGTCAATCTTTACGGGAGTAGAAAGCCTCGTCTTTCTCCCGCGGAGCCGCTGGTAGTTTCGAACCTCTGACCTTAAGGTTCGCAGCCTGATTCGTAACCAGAGCTAAACAGAACTAAACAAAAGAGGTCCTTATTATTTACAGCTTAATAGACTTGGTGTGCTGATGCGCTGGACCTCAAAGTTAGCTTGAGCTGCAAGGACAGAAGTTCAAACCCATCAGCCGCTCCTTGGAAACATTATACAGGGTCACTATGAGTTCAAACAGACTCAATGGCACTTAACAGCAACAACAAGACACCACATAACAGCAAGGTCATCAGTTAAGATCCGCCAGCCTTTCTATGGGAGAAAGATGAGGCTTTCTTATCCTGTAAAGATTAATGCCTCGGCAAGCCTATGCAGGGTCACTGTGAGTCAGAACCAACTCAAAGACAGTGGGTAGACAGCACAGTGGAAAATCTGAAGGATTCACTTCTTGTTTGTTATGTGAGGAAATTCTCAATATCTTGGAACTTCAAATAGATTATCTTTTGTACCATCAATGTCAAGAACAAATCATACGCAGTGGGTATATACTCAGTCTATTTAGGTAATAAACAGTAAAAATCCCTTCTAATGGCAAAATTTTAGTATTGGCTATTGAAGAAGCTTCAATCAGCTGGTTTTGTCTTGATCGATTTCCTGGCCAACTTTGACCTAACCTAATGAGGAAGATATCTGTGGCTGTATGAACTAGTTGATCATATTATTTCCCAGTCAGAGATGCACGTCTTGTTTTTTTCAGACGTATACGGTAGTGCAGGAAATTACTTAATATGGTACTTCTATCCATAAAGTTTTTGTAGCTCCCTCCTAATGACAGGGTTGTTGTTGTTAAGTGCCATTGAGTCAATTCTGACCCATAGTGACCCTGAATAGGATTTCCAAGGACCATGCAAATTGAGTGTATTTCCTGTTTTCCTGATAGATCTGGGTAAGAGAAGAAGGGGGAAGATTTTATCAATTTTGCCACCCTGCTGTGTATAAAATGAGTTGTCTCATAAGCAGGAGGGGTGGGGAATCTCACTATCAGCAAAACAGAAGAGCCAGGAGTGGAGCATATTCTTTGGCCCCTGAGATCCTGGTACATTTAATCTCCTCACCCAGGAGGCAGAGAGTTGGGATACCAGAGGAATTGGCAGCAACAGAAAAAAGAGCCAGATCAAAAGACACAGCACTGAGCTTCTTGGCCCACAAACTTAGTGTAGCTGAGTGTCCTTGGGCAGGAAGCTCTCTTGCAAAGTGGGCGCCTCTGGGCACTTAACTAGGAAAGCTTGGTTTCCGGAACTATGGAACTAGAAGTGAGCACCTTTGAGCTGAGGTTTATGGCAGATTGAGGGCCTTTTGGACATCAGCAGTTGTAAGAGAGTTTTGTATCATTGCCTGAGTAGGGCAGAAACCAAAGGGCCACGTGGCTGAGAGGCCAGGGACCTGAGAGAGACCTGCCTACGGGCACAGCTGAGAAAAGATTATCCTGTCTAAATAATTTTATCTTGAATATCTCTGGTAGCGTAGTGGTTATGAATCAGGCTGCTAATCTCAGGGTCAGTAGTTCGAAACTACCAGTTGTTCTGCAGGAGAAAGATGAGGCTTTCTGCTCCTGTAAAGATTTACAGGCTTGGAAACCCTATACAGTGTCGCTATAAGTCGGAACAGACTCCACGGCACACCACCACAACCACCAACTTCCCTAATAAACACTGTAATTGTGAGTCTTGTATGTGTTTTCTCTGGCCATTGCAGTGAATTATTGAACCCAAAGGAGAAATAGAGCATCAGAATTGAGAAGAAGGGTGGCGAGAGGGCTTCCACGCCATTCATAATAAATACTACATAATTAAAACACTAAGTTTTTAGTAAATGAAGAGATGAATTATACTATGGATCTTTGTATCCATATATTCTTTTGAATATAAAATGCTAATAATGATGTATCATTGGGATTTTATTTGAACTAGACTATTCTAGCTTGGTGCGGTGGGTTAATGCAGTTTGAACCGTAAGGTCAGCAGTTCAAGCTTACCAACCACTCCTCAGAAACCCTGTAAAGCTTGCTACATGTCAGAACTGACTTGACGGCACTTAACAACAACAATTTATAGATTACTTTATGTAATTTAAAACCAGTATATCCTGGGAAAATTAAATTATAGACAAATGTTTATAGCATGAGCTCAGTGCACTGTAAAATTATGATATGAAATGATTGAGACAGTATGCTATTCTTTTCATTTATGTCTGTATCTACTAAAAGATCCAATTAGAATCTATTGAGATTCAACTAGTGCACTCAACTAGTTCAACATACATGCCTGTTAACAATTTTAAAGGTTTTCCAGAAAGTTCTTTTTATCTGGTCTTCCAAGGATGTTAAAAAACAATCATTTTACTTTACTTTCTAACTTGTGACCAGAACTTAAAGGACAATTAAACTCATTAAGTGTCTTTTTACTGCTGTTCCAGTTTATACAATGCTTTGTTTGATGTTATTAGAAAAAGATAACTTAAATGCAAAGTCAAAGCAGAACTTTTATGAAAGTAATTTTCTTATAATAAGATGTTGTTGTTGTTAAGTGTCATCCAGTCAGTCCAGTCTCATAACAACCCTGTATAGGGTTTTCAAGAAGGGGTTGGTGGGTTTGAACCATCAAGCTAGTGGTTAGCAGTCCAGCACTGCATTTATCCTACAGTACCACACCAGGACTCCTTATAATAAGACTGTTGTTGTTTTTAAATGCTATCAAGGTGGTTCTGACTTGCAGCAATCCTGCTTAAAGTTTCCAAGAAGTCAGTTACAAGTTTGCACTGCCAACCTTGAGATTAAAACCAATCTTGCAGTCCAGCGCATTCTACTGTAGCATCACACCAAGACTCCTCCTATAAGAAGATGGTTGTGGTTATAAGTCATGGAGTTGGTTCCAACTTAAAGCAACCCTGTAGAGCGTTTCTGAGGCTGTAAGTCTTTATACAAGCAGAAAGCCTCATGGTTTTCCCACAGAACCACTGGTAGTTTTGAACTGCTGACAGTGAGACTAGCAACTCCACTCATAATCACTACTTTATCAGAGCTCCTTCCTATAATAAGATAGAACATAGAAAAGAAAAACCAGCTTAAAGAAAAATGCAGATGACATTTGGCTATGTAATAATGATATAGCTGTTGTTGTTGTTGTTGTTGTTGATTGCCATTGAGTCAGTTCCCACCCATAGCAACCCTGTCTAGGGTTTCCGAGGAGCAGTTGGTGAGTTTGAACCACCAACCTTGTGGTTCAAACTGACTTAGAATTGTTAATGAAATGAAAATAAAGGTTGGGATCTAAATAAATACATTTATTTGCTTTCAACAAATTTTTCAGACAATTTTTTCTTATGAAAGTTTTGAAAACTCACTATTTATTTATTTTCCTTTCAGGAAGAAGGTGTGATTATTAATCCATTAAGATCAGATGAGAATATGAAGCTCAGTCTTGGTTGTTCTGATGTATTTAAACATTGTAGCCCTGGAAACTCTTCAGTGAAGTCTGAACTAAGACTGCAAACAATAAATTTGCCTTTGGAGATCGAAGTACCTGAAATGTCTACTGTGCAGGGGGCTTTGGATGAGTTTAAGAAAATCTTAGGGAAGGAAAGAGAGTAAGTGCCAATTCATTGCCCTCCTTCACCAAGTGGGGAATCTAAAGCTGTTCAGGCTGTGAAGCCTCATAAGTGGTCATTGGAGAAGGTATTTTACTCACGAACACTCCTTCAGTGGTAATATTTAAAAACTAAGTTTGAGATATATTGACTTTAGTCTTTGGAAAGTAGTTTATAATTTGTTAATTTTATCTTTCTTTTTTTTATCATAACCATGTTCATAGTTCATTGAATTCTAATGTACATGTTGAAAATGTCAAGCGTGCTGTTTTTTGCAACATCCTCGGACTCAAGTAAGTCAGCATCATTAGTGATGGACAACTCAAAGTATCATGAGTTATGGATTGCCGAAACAGATGCCTCAAACACTGATCACGTGGGTATGGAGGAAAGAACACCGGGCTTGTGGTTCAGAAACCTGGACACCTATCTTGGTTTTGGCATGTTCTAACTATATGGCATTGGGTCAGCAGGACTGTGTTCCTTGTACACTTTGTACAAAGAGGAGTAGCCATCCTGGGCTCAAGGAGTCTGGTGATATAGTGATTTTAGAAATGAACTGGCTAGTGGTTGGAGAAGCTTTCAGACCCACTCACATTGCTTCACTAAGTGTCACAAATTGCTGAGACCTAAATGAAAATGATCCTAGTCTGTCCAGGTTTAATGCTATGCACACATATCATGACACATTGACATACACATGGACACATATTTATATTTCCTATTTTTGACTTCCTTGAAATACATGAACCATCTCCATCAATAGCAAACTTTCGGGTGCTCAGAAACCAGTATAGAAATCCCAGACAGGCCAAAGATAAGGGGAGAAGGACGAAGGATGGCTTCGATTTATCTTCCTCTCTCTTCTATAAGAAAAAATCCCATGGATGTGAGTCTGGGTATATGTGTCCCTGGATCAACATGCAATCTACTTGAAACAATTGAAAAGCCTTTTTTTTTTTTCTTTTTTTCATCACAAAGGAATGTTTCTCAAGGATACAGTATGTGCTATTCCTATAAATCTGTCTAAACTTTGAAATATTCCCTTCTGGAATCTCAGCCAGTGGGTGGCTTCAGTTGAGGAAATGTGAGTGTAATTTTTCTATGTTCCCAGCTAGTGAGAGCATTCTCTTGACAGGGGCAGACGATTAAACCCAGGGAACTCTGGGAATCATTCCCACCGATGTCAATGACTAGAACTCCTTCATCAAATACAATAAGATTTATGATATTCTTGTACTCCGTGTACTGTTTCAGCCTTAGAAATAATTATCCAGTCTTTGGAAGTCTCTCATATTCTGATTATTTGCATATCTATATGTTTTTTTTTCAATCCCTTGGCCAGAAAATTGCCCAGGCAGAAAATTGGGGTTGAAGATGGGAAGTCTGATGCAGTTGTAGAGCCTCCTAACCACAGACAAAAGGAGCTCTGGTAGTGTAGTGGTTACGAATCGGGCTGCGAACCGCAAGGTCAGCAGTTCGAAACTACCAGCTGCTCTGTGGGAGAAAGATGAGGCTTTCTGCTCTCATAAAGATTTATAGCCTCGGAAACCCTGTACAGGGTCGCTGTGGGTTGGAACCGACTTGACGGCACATAAAAACCATCACCACCACAGACAGGAGTCAATTCTAACTTATGGTGACTCTGAAGGGGGTTTCCAAAGCTGTAAATCTTTACGGGAGCAGAAAAGCTCATATTTCTCCTGAAGATCAGCTCTTGGGTTTGAACTGCTAACGTTGTGGTTACCCTGCAGCACCACCAGACCTTCTTTGCTATAAAGCTAGTTGTACCTAAACATTGAGAAGGAGGAGGTTCAATGAAATCTGAAGTAAAGGAGACTATGATGTAGATGATCAACATTCAGAAAGAGCCTTCTGATCAAATGACTTCAGCCCTGATGGGGGAGGCTTCAAAAAGTTCATGACAAAATTTCATTGCCTTGTAATTCCATTTTTCCATGAACTTTTTGAAGCCCCTTCATACAATGTCTGCTTTATGTCATTGAAAGTGAGCTTTTAATCTCGTCTCTCATTTTTATTTTTGTAATTGTTTTTCTCAATATGAAAAGTAGTATTTCTTAATTCTTTTTCACTAATGCATTGACTGTTTTCCCCCTCAATAAAATGAATTTTAAATCCTGGTGAGAAGGTATAGAAAATTTAAAATGCTTCAAAGATTAGCATGGGGATAGAAACTCCCATGTATTTTTACATGCCCATATCAATGCAATAAATAACGTGGCATTCGTTGTTGTTTAGTGCTGTGGAGTCAGTTCTGACCCATACCGACCCTGTATAGCATTCCCAAAGAGCAGCCGGTGAGCTTGAACCACTGACCTTGAGGATCAAACCGACTTTGCAGTCCAGCGCATTAACCCACAGCACCACACCAGGTCTCCATCAATGTTGTTCAATATAATATTGTTAAAAACTAGAAAGGCCTGTTTTACTTATTTAGTAACTGCCAGTGCTGGGATAGGCAATAAGCCATAATCATTTTTTCTAGACTTTTCCATGGTAAATACACAGGTATATGTAACAAAATATTTGCCATTTCAGCAATCTATACATGTACAGTTCAGTGGCATTCATTATTGCTCATCATGTTGCTCAAACGTCACAATTTCTTGTTCCCAAATTACATCATCCCCATTAAGTGAACCTCAGTGTCCCCTAAGCCTTGAGTCCTCTGCCACCCCCTTCCCATCCACTCCTGGTCTCTCTATGCCCGTCTTCTTCTCATTAAGGACTGTCCACTAGGAGCCCTGGAGGTACAAATGATTCCGCACTCAGCTGCTAACCAAAGGCTGGTGGTTGGAACCCACCAGTGGCTCCATGGGAGACAAGATCTGCCAATCTCCTGACATCACATCCTAGGAAACCTTATAGGACACTGTCACTTTGATGTATATACCAACTGTCACTTTATGAGGCCGAGTCTGTTTCTGTGCATAGCTTATGCAACTCCTAGTAGATCTCTACCAGAGTCTTCCTTGCAATTGGTCTGCAGACAGTTGACCAAGGAACAGTTATTTGGAAGTAGCCCTCTCAATTTTAAGCAGCTTTGTAGCAATAACAGCAGCAGGTTCAAATACTGCAATGACTGTAGGGGTAGTTAAGGATCAGATAGGGTTTTGTTCTGTTGTGCCTACGGTTGTTATAAAGTGGAACCAACTCAAGAGCACGTGACAACAACAACAAACAACAATGCTACGAGGAAGAAGGGAGTACCAGCACCCTTTCCGGTGGAGGGAGGCAGTGGCAGGAGTGATCTCTGCTTTCCAGACAGCAGCAGTCTCTGAACCCCATGACATCACTGTGTCTCACGTTGGTAGCATTGACATCACGGTATGACGTTGCACTTCACCGGGCGGTCACATTGCTGCCCCATGAGAAGGCTTCCATATTGCTTTCTTGTGAGTTTCTGATTGTTTCTCTTGCTCTACCAGAGATTGGTTGGGCTACTAATGTCCTTTCGTACTTAACATTGCTAATTTTGGACATTTTTGCTTGTCAGACTCATAATTGTTACTGGGAGAAGCACTAGCTACAGACAGGAAGAGCTATAGACAGTAGGATCTTCTTAGGATCAGTCGTGTGATGTGTGGGTTGTACTTGTTCTCAGCCCCGTCTCCATCTTCTCTGGTCCTCCTGAATGTCTCTAAAGAGAAGAATGTTCTGGAAGTACATCGATTCTTCTAATTAAATGAATAGTATGAGTCTGACTGTTTGACACTTACTGCTGCCAGATGTAAGGATAAGTAGCTGGCAGTGCAGTGACAGAATGACAGATATATTGCTCATTAAAAAGAGATCTGTGTAAACTTGGTAATTCACAGCTTAGTACAAGCTCTATATTTTGTAGTAAGATAAATATGGGCATGTAAACACTATTATGTTGTTATTTGCTCTGGTAAAAACATTTTGACATTAGTTGTACTCTTTAGGGAAAGATGAATTAGATATTTTACAATGGAATTTCCCATTGTTAAAAAGTGATTGATATTTGCTGTTGTTAACTGCCGTCGAGTCGATTCTGACTCCCAGCGACCCTGTACAGGGTTTCCTAGGAGCAGCTAGTGGGTCTGAACAGCTGACCTTGTGGTTCGCAGTCCAGTTCTTATCCTACAGCACCACAGATATTAATCTCTCAGAGGCTTTTGATCCTGAGAAATATTTTTATTAATATTCCTGTCTATATATCCAAGTTTTGTGGTCAATTATGAGATCATGATAGATAATAAAATTAAAAAAAACCAACAAAAAAAAAAACCAAACTGTTGTTTTTAAGTTCCATCGAGTCAGTTCTGACTCATACCGACCTTGCATAGTGTATCCAAGGAGCGGCTGGTGACTTTGACCCACTGACCTTGTGGTTCAAACTGAACATGCAGTTGAGTGCTTTATCTCACAGCACATATTAGATTACATTAAGTATAATCCTATCCTCCTTTAAAAATAATTTTAGTCCAGACTCTGTCTTTTAGATCCTGCGAAGTCTAGTTTAGCAGTCTGACTTTTTAAAAGTTCATAACATCATATTAAAGAGACTGTATTTTTCTTCACCATCGTGTGAGTGCTACTACGTTCCGTCTTGACTCTGTCTTCTCATAAGACTTTGAGGATCAAGAGGTTCCTGTCCAGGAAACCAAAGCAGAATCATCCCATTCCCCAATGGATTTGAATGAAAACTGGTAATAAAATCAGATACAAGTCCAAGAGAGACACTGGAGAAGATCCACGCTGGGTCTCTAAGGAGTCGCACATGTGATGATAACACAGCACGTAACGTACCCAGGTCCTAGCACGCTACCATAGCAAGATCAATTCTGCCAAGAGTTGATCAATTGAACATGTTTAGCAAAACTTCTAGTTCCTGCCCTTATTTTTATGCTTCCACATTTAAAGAGGTTGTCTAATAAATATGTGAGACCTTTGGTTTGAAAAAATAAAGAGACTACATTTTTAATATTGGTCTTACATTTGTTTTATAGAATTTG